GTTGACCCCGGTTTTGGATTTGTGTGGGTTTGGGGGTTAGACCGGACCGGTTTTCCGGCGGGTCGCGGTCGAACCGGTCGGACCGGCCGGTCCGGTCCGGTTCTAATAACATTGATACCAACTCATTTTTTACTAACCTACTTCAACCATACCATCTAAAATTTAGTATTTTATTACGAGATACTATATATCTACCCAATTTCACGTTTACATGTGGGGGTTTGTATTTATTTGTTGATGGTTTATTAATTATTTTAATACTTTTTTCTTTAGCATTTGTCTACAGTAGATGGTATATATACCATATATTTTCCTTAGAGCTTGATTTTTGTGCATAAATAATATAGTGCTATTTATAGCCGATAGTTACCATTTAGCATCTCCTTTGGAGATGCCCTTAGTGAATGTTATTACACTTTCAATATTTACTATCATAATTGACAATATATTATGGAGATTATGAATTTTATTGAAAAAAATATATTATGGAGATTATGAATTTTATTGAAAACAACGATACACACGTTTTTTTAATAAGAAAAAATATAAATATTTAAATAATTGATTACACATGTTTTTTTAATAAAAAAATATAAATCTTAATAATATATTGAAATTGATATATTAATTTAAATTAAAAAAATTTAAACATATAATTCTATAAATATAATATATATTTCAAGAAATTAATACTACAAAAAAAAGCGAAAATTTTACAAAATATAAAAAAATTGAATATTCATACATTAAAAATTGAGTTTTCTGATTTTTTTACAAAAATATAGGCAGAAAATATAAATTTTGAAAATTTTAAATTATTAAAGAGATAATATTTTTCAAATTTATAGGATATTAAACGCATGCAAGTGTGTGTGTGGGGTAATTGTTAAATGAATGTGTAAATGTTAAATAGAAAATAACTTAAAAACATACTAAGATTAAAATACCTAATAAGAAATTGGATATTACACATCATCAATTTAATGTCAACTAAGCGATTTGAGAAAATGGCATAGAAATTGCCACATGTCATTCAATGAGGGCATAAATCCATTTTATGGATACTGTTTAGATAAAACAACATATATAAATTTTTCATAAAATACAAAATATTTTATAACATAAGGGCCAATTTTTAATTCTTAATTTTAAGGGGTTTTTGTGCATAAGTCCTGACCAACATATCTTTATTATTGAAGGTTCAGGGATTATATATATTTAATATATATTATAAATAAAGTAAAAAAATAATGTATATGACAAAATTACCCCCAACCATTTACACACAATTCTTAATTATAGCCCAAATTTCATCAACTTTGACCACAAAATCCAATTTTGACATTTTCTTTAACTTTTTTTTTTATGAAATTATTGTTTTGCCGTTGATTTCCAGTGTTGACTTAACAATTTTTTTTTCTTTTTTTTTTCTTTCATGGTCTGTTTTTTTCGCCGCCAGCTGCCGGCGTTGACTTTTCGATTTTTCTTTCTAACCTTTATTTTACCCCCGCCGCTAAACGTTGATCGTAATTGTACTTTCAATAACAGTAATTATACTGTCTACAGTACATTAATGTAATTATACTATCGTTGACAGTACATTAACGTAATTGTACTGTTGTTGACAGTATATTATGTAATTGTACTGTCGTTGATAGTACAATTAGGGTCAAGGACAATATTATTATTATTTTTGCTTTTTTTTTTGTTTGATTTGTTGACAAGTCAACGTAATATTACTGTCTTTGACAGTAAAATGACTGTAAACACAATAATATTATTGTCAATCACATCAATATTATTAATTCTTTTGGGGGTTTTGTTTTGTTGGAGTTGTTGACGGAGTAACGTAATAATATTATTGTCTACTATTGTATTATTCCTGTAAACACAATAATATTACTGTAGTTGGCAATAATATTATTTTTGTTACAGTAATATTACTCTCAACCACATTAATATTATTTTTTTTGGTTTTTTATTATGTTTAGCTTTGTTGAACAGTGAACATATTGATATTACTTTATTATGTGCTAGAGAATAATATACCAATATTATTATGTTAAACTGTAGTATAGTTAATATTACTGTGTTTAACAGTAATATAATTAATATTAATGTCAACCACAACAATATTGTTGTTTAAACGAGGCAAAAAGATGTTAAAGAAAAAATTTAACAAAAAATTCGAAAAAGTCAACACCGAAAACCGGCGAAAAAATCAGGAAGAAAAAAATAGTCAACGGCGGTTGACCGGCGGTCAACAATGGCGACGGATGAAATTGTACTCAAAATTGTGTTTTGGGTCAAAATTGAATAATTTGTGAAATTTCAGGTCAAATTGAGAATAAATTAAATTAAATGATAAAATTGAAACATATTAAAATGTGAGGGGCTATTTTAGTCTTTTACAAACCTCTGAATAATGTATGGACTTTTTAGTTAAAGAGTTTTTTGTCTCAATCATTTTATGAATAAGTACCCATTGATGTGTTTATTTATAAATTGTCCGTTTATATAATATATAGAGATAAAACAACGTACATAAATTTTACATAAAATACAAAATATTTTATAACATGGGGCCAATAATAAAGAGAAGGAAAAAAAAAACTTGAACAAAAGCGTGCGTTCTCAATTATCATAAAAGCATGCCCCCCCTATTTAATATCAATAAATAACTTAAACCATGCTTGAAGAAAATCAATTTCTAATACAATATTCGTTTCTCGGTAGAAACACACACACACACACTATAAATTTACAATAGTAGCATGATGCGATCTCTTGTGTATCATAAGAATTCTTTACGAAACGTAAGAAAACTCTTCATTAATATTTCTCTTCATAATAAAACCCTAGCACAAGACGACTATTTAAAGATAATAAAACCCTAGAATCCTAATCTAACTAGGAGACATAATTAACTATACTAATAAAATACTTAATATCTAACCTAACCACTAACTCACGGCCATATATATATTATAAATATACTAATCTAATTAATTAATAATAAACTACTAACTAAACTAATAATTAAATAATATAGTAAATAACATATCGTATCAATCCACCCCTCTTGAAACGAACCTTGTCCTCAAGGTTCTGCCCAATAATCGTCTCTCTTTTCTGTGTTTCCATCTATGCTTGACGCCATCGAATTGCTTTCCGATTGAATCCGAAAAACATGATGAAAAATTGAGCTCTTTTCCAAATATGAGTCCATCTGCCCGAACGAAATTTCTCAATCTCTTACCCGACAAATCAACCGTCGTCTCAATTGTCTTTTCAAATTTTGTTTCCTTCACAATTACTGACGCTTCTTCGTCTCTTTTCTTTTGAGCACCATGGAAATCTCCTAATATCCACTGTGTCTCTTCGTTCTCCTCCCTGGTTAATTTCTCGTCTTCATCCCACTTTACCTCAGTTGACTCCGATTCTTCTTCTTTCGACTCTTCGTCCCACTTTATCTCAGTTGAATCCGATTCTTCTTCTTCCGGCGAACTCAAAAATATTTGGAGTTCTTCGAAAAAATCATCGTCGTCCTCTTCCTCTCCCTCCGGCGATAGGATCGGCAGCGGCGGCGGTGGCTCTTTGAAAAATTCATCGTCGTCCTCTTCCTCTTCCTCCAGCGATAGGCTCGGCAGCGGCAGCGGCGGTGATGGTCAGTTTGGATGAGATGAAATTTGAGAAGGCAATTGAGAAGGTTGATTTGTCGGGAAAAAGATTGAATATTTTCGCTACAATGGCCTTTGGAATTTCATTGGATCAGCATGAACAATGTGTTAAAAAATTTGGTCGTTCATCGTGTTTTTCGGAGTCAATCGGGAAGCAAGTTGATAAGCAAGTCGATGAAGTCAAACATAGGTGGAAACGCAAAGGAGAAGGACCAAATTGACTCGAACCTTGAGGACAAGGTTCATTTCAAGAGGGGTGGTTTGATACGATATATTATTAAATATATCGTTTAATTATTAGTTAGTTAATATTTTATTATTAATTAGATTAGATTGATATATTTAAATATATATATGGCGTGAGTTAGTATATTTAGGATATATATATAGTCGTGTGTTTAGTGATTAGGGGAATATTAAGTATTTTATTAGTTTAGGTAATTATCTTTCCTAGTTAGATTAGGATTCTAGGGTTTTATTATCTTTAAATAGTCGTCTTGTGCTAGGGTTTTATTATGAAGAGAAATATTAATGAAGAGTTTTCTTACGTTTCGTAAAGAATTCTTATGATACACAAGAGATCGCATCAATTGGTATCAGAGCGAAGTTGCGATTAACACCAACGCTTCGTTAGCAAGGCAGCGATTACATCAAAGCTACGCTGGAGCAAAGTTGAGATCACATCAACACTTTGCGAAATTATGTCGTCCGAGAGAAAACGTTTAGAGCGATTGGAAAAATCCGTGGAGGAGATACGGATTGGTCTCCAAAAACTGCTCGAACAAAGTCAAGGACGGATCCATCACAAAAGCCGAAGGGACCGCCGGCCATCACCGCCGCTGCCGCTGCCGAGCCTATCGCTGGAGGAAGAGGAAGAGGACGACGATGAATTTTTCAAAGTGTTGATGTGATCTCAACTTTGCTCCAGCGTAGCTTTGATGTAATCGCTGCCTTGCTAACGAAGCGTTGGTGTTAATCGCAACTTCGCTCTGATACCAATTGATGCGATCTCTTGTGTATCATAAGAATTCTTTACGAAACGTAAGAAAACTCTTCATTAATATTTCTCTTCATAATAAAACCCTAGCACAAGACGACTATTTAAAGATAATAAAACCCTAGAATCCTAATCTAACTAGGAGACATAATTAACTATACTAATAAAATACTTAATATCTAACCTAACCACTAACTCACGGCCATATATATATTATAAATATACTAATCTAATTAATTAATAATAAACTACTAACTAAACTAATAATTAAATAATATAGTAAATAACATATCGTATCATAGCAACGAGGAAAGAAGGCTCAACTGCTTTTCTAGTGTGACCAGACCAACTACACATTTTTATTTAGTAATTTTTCTCTGTTGCTTGCCGTCCAATTTTCTCTCACATTTTTACATTCTATTCTTGTTGCAAGAAAAGAAGCCTTTGCCTCTCAACTAAAAGATATTCTTTACTTGTTAGCATTAAATGCCAAACCCACATGAGATATAGCCTATAAAAAAGACTGAGAATATAATTCATAATTTCAATTCCAATTCCAATTCCTATTCCAATTTCTAAATCAAACGGTTACAATCTCCTTCCCATTTTTTCAGACAAGAACAGAAAAAAAAAAAAAAAAAAAAACATGGGTGTTTTTGGAGCCGTGGCAAGGCATTTGGATACACTTCTCGGGTAATTTTAATAATTATTTATTCCTCGTATATTCTTGTTTAAATTTATTCCATTCTTTTCTTATATTCATTGATTGAAGACAAACCTGATCAGTTTCTTTGATTTTCGATAAATTAATTAATTTAATAATTTTCGTGCTATCTTGAAGAAATTATTCGATAAATTGATTGCCTATATATTTTCTTGATTAATGTTAATAATAGACTAATAATTTGTTCTGGTTTTGCATGTTTGTGTAGACCTGGAGTGATGCTTCTCTATCCCCTGTAAGACATCTTAATCTTTTATTTTATTTTTATTTTTATTTTTCACTCTGATTCAAAAAGAGTGATCAGATTGACAATCCAATATTACGAACCACTTGAATATGTAATTGCTACACGACGAGTTGAAATTAATTAATTAATATACATGATATTTCATTTAATTTACACAATATTTCAATGAAATTAAATTAACAGATATGCATCGATGAGGGCAATCGAGAGCCCCTCAACACTGGATGATCAACAATGGCTAACGTATTGGGTTCTCTACTCGTTTATGACACTTTTCGAGCTTTCCTGCTGGAAGATTCTTCAATGGTAATAATTCATAATAATTACTTTCATATATCGAGTAATGTGCAAAAAATACCCCTGTGTAATACTTATCTGCGAAAAAACCCCCTGTAATAAAATAACTAGCAAAAACCTCCCATATAAAAAGTTAAAGGCAAAAAACCCCCCATGTAAAAAAGTCAAAGGCAAAAAACCCCCTTAGAGCAGAACGTGTGTTCCACTCGCAGCTTGTGTGATTTTTAGTTCATTTTTGCTTATGAAATGACAGAATTGCCCACCACCATCATCATAATCTCTCTTCACTCCCCTTTTCTCTTTTGATTTTTTGGGAAAATTGCAATTCAATCCCCTAATTTAAGTTTTACAAGTTTAGTAAAATTGTAATTTTTCCTCATATTTCATGTTATCTGATCTTATTCTATTTTTATTGTAGAGTATATTTGTCTTTTTACGTTCAATCAATATTGAATGTTTAAAATCATAATGGGTGTAGTGAGCTATTTAAAAATTTACAAGGAGGTTTTTTGCTAGTTATGTTATCAGAGGGGGGTTTTTGGCAGATAAAAATTACACAGGGGTACTTTTTGCGCATTACTCTTCATATATCTCCTAATATTGTTAAGACAAAATTCAAAAAATTAACATGTAGTAGAAAAAAAAAACAGGCTTCCTTTCTGGCCATACATGAAGCTGGTATTCTGCATGTGGCTGGTGCTCCCGATTTTCAACGGAGCGGCTTATATATACGAGAATTTAGTGAGGAAGTATGTTAATGTTGGAAGAAATGTGAGCTCAAATCATCCAGAAGGACAGAGGAGGGTTCTTCAGATGATGAGCCTCGACGCAAGAAAGTCCGTCGAGAGATACATTGAGAAGTATGGTCCAGAAGCCTTTGACAGAGTTGTCAAAGTGGTAATTATTAAAACGAATATTCCATCTCCTTTAATTAAATTCCATCACTATTATTATATGTTACATCACGTGTATATGAGATTGAATGTCGATATAAGAAAGTATGTTTGTTTTCTTTTTTTTTTTTCTTGTTTTTTTTTTGGCAGGCTGAGAAAGAAGCAAGGAAACACTGATCAGGAAATACAGAATCTCAGGCAGAATATGGAATGTATACATATATATAATTATTCAATTAACCTTGTAATGATCTCAGAGAAACTATAGTATTCAAACTTGCATACATTATATACACATACATGCCATTGCCTTCTATCTCTTCATTTTTTATTTTATTTTTAGTTTTTTGTGCATTGTGGTTTAATCCTTTGTTTCGGAAAAGAAAAATTCAGAAACGAGAGGGTTCTATTCTCGTTTTTCATTTTAATGAATGATGGTTTTTTAATCGAGTAAACTGTAAGAAGTACCTCTGTGTTATCTCTAAATAGCGAAAACCTCTATGTGATAAATAAAGTAGCAAAAATCCACCTATGAAATTATTTATATAGCATAGTTGGCCCAAAAGTATCCCTTGTAATCCCAAATAGTGTGATAAATAAACTAGCAAAAAACCCCCTATGAATTTATTTATATAGCATACTCGGCTCATTATTCATTTGAGTGTTGACTCGATATAAAAAGACACAAATACCCCCAGGATTTTGCAATTAATGAATTTTTATATCTTATAAATATTTAAATTATTTTATTTTTGTTATATCTTAATTAGAAAAAAACAATGGGTCTTTTATTTCTATTTTTATTATCAGATAATTTATGTATATATTTTAAATTATACTAACCTCAAAAGAAAACTTAAATTTCATTATTACATATTTCTTTATTTTGTATTTAAGAAACCTAGACTTAATTTGATTATAATTTTTTTAATAATTTTCAATTTAATTTAATTGTTTACTAAATTTTTAATAATATTTTAATTTCTAAACAATCAAATTAAAATGAAAATATATATAATGTGTTGCGTAGTTTTGCCGTTGATCAACATATATAGATATTAAAAGAAAGAAATAAAAAGTACGAAGTAAAAGTTGGATATCCGCTCAGCTGGAATAACTGATCCCCGATTGCCAATATGTCACGAATATAACCGGCATTAGTGACAAGATCATTAAATAACAGGAAGATACTTTGTGAAAATTCTAGGAAGGTATATACAGTTAAACCTCTATAAATTAATACAGTTGGGACCATTAAAATTTCATTAATTTAGCGAAATATTAACTTATCGATAAATTAATAATTATTAATTTATGCATTAATTAATAACTTATTAATTTATGAAATTACTTTTATTATTATTTTCAATATATACATTTTTGTTTTTAAATTTTACGTGTATATTATTCATTGTACCATTAGTTCAATGCACTATAGAGCGCGTTTCACGAGCGGAAGCTCTTAAATATGTAATGATATAGAACGATTTTATGTTGAGTTATGAGAATACTATACCAAAAGTTCTAACCATGTTAAAAAAAGTGAGGGACGAGATTGATGGTAATGTGAACTTCAACAAGAAACAAGCGACAATTAAATTATATTGTATTAAGCTTTCATAGATCTATAAAATATGTACTGTACCATTTAATTTAAGAATTATTTTCATGCATTATTAATTTATATATTATATGGGGCTTCTTAAAAATTTTAAATGTGTGTTATCTTATAAATTTAGCGAATTATTAATTTAGCACGTTGTCCCCGAGTCGGGACCGGGAAAATTTATTATTTAAGCGAGGTTATTAATTTATCAGGTATTAATTTATCGAGGTTCTACTGTACATGTACACAAAAATAAAATGACATATAATTAATACATTATTGAGTAAAGTTGAGTTATCCATGTGTAATAGCCAGTGTTCTAAAAATCGGTCGAGGCAGTCGATTAATCGGTTTCCGAGGCAAAGGCGGTCCAAAACCTTTACGATTTTAGTGTAAATGTTTGAAAAATCGGTTTTTTGCTTATGAGGCGGTTTTAGGCTGTCCGAGGCGGTTTGAGGCGGTCAAACCTTTAAGGCGGGTCAAACTCAGTGGCAAAAATCGGCCAAAAATCGGTCAAAATCGGTTTTTTTTTATTCAAAATAAAAGTTGAGATTTTAATAAAAAATATGAGTTTATGCTTTATTTTGTTTATATTAACTGTTATTGTAAATTAAATAACTAATAATGTATGCGAGGAATGTTCAACAATAAATGTAAATTTAAAAAAATTACCTTTTATTTTATAAGGATATTTATGTATTATGATCTTATTATTATTAAACTTTTATTATGTTATTAGGATATATACATGATGGAGATCAACTATGTTTTAATATATTTTTATATATATTTTCAATATTTATAAATAATATTTAGAAATATATCATATTAAATTATAAAAACCGATTTATTTTCAATTTATCACCGATTAATCGCCGTCGCACCAATTAATCGTGAGTCGGTGCCTGACCGCCTCCGACCCGATTATCGCTTTTTACAACCTTGGTAATATCCATGTGTCAAAAATATCTTCAAGCACAAAAACAACTGGCAAAAGGCAAAGGCATAAACTGCCTTGGGGGCGCTCGTGTGGCTCACTTGCCATTTGTGCGATTGTTTCCTACATTTTTAATGTTAAATGACATAAATGCCCATCAATTTTCCATCTCTCTCCTCTCGTCCCTCTTCTTTTCCTTTTACGCCCAAGCTTAATTAGTTACTCCTCACCGCTCTGATAATGGATATGTAGTAACCAGTTAGCCCAAACATTAGGTTGAGGCGATTAAACCATAGCCTTAATCTTTCAAAGGTCTGCAGCCATAGTCCCTCCATTAAAAGTGTGACCAAGGTAATCAATTTGAGCTTGCCCAAAGGCACATTTGGATACTTTGGTATAAAGTTGGTTAGACATAATGAGATCAAAGACTAAGGCGGTGTGTGTTAGTGAATTTCCAAGTAAGGAATGTATACAATAATTAACAAAAAAAAAAAAATACTAACACAAATTTTCTAAGAACGGGTTTGAAGATGGAATTTATTAAAGATATAAAAATGGTAGGTGCATTTTTAAGGCCAAAAGGCATGAGATTAAACTTCATACGAACCAGAAACACTGACAAATGCAGTTTGTGAATATTAGGAGGATACAACCTACTTGACAGTAGCTAGGTCTCAAGTCATTTTTAAGAACATTGGCCTGCTCTAGCTCATCAAGTAAGTCACTGATCAAAAGAATCAAAGGAATGGGAAACTTCTTTAATGATGAGGGAATTGAGTTTTCTATTGTTTACAGAAAATCTCCATGTGCCATTTTTTCTTAACTAGAAGGATTGTTTCTTAGCTAAATAATTCTCGATTCTAATATTTCTTGGACTAGTTTTTTTAATTTCTAATCTCAGCAAGTAAGAGTATTTGTAAAGGTGTTGTTTCACTAGTTTAGTACCAGGTGTTAAGGGAATTTTGTGGTCATAAGGTCTACTTGGGGGAAGAGTTTTTGGTTCAAGAAAAAATGACTGTTATAGATTTTCGGGTGAGAATGAGAGTTTCACTAGTGGTTTACATCTTATATCCTTGGGTACATGACATCATAGAGATCATGCCAAAAAAGAACTCACCGTACGTCCTTACGGTAAGTCTTATCAGTTTGTCCACCATTATTCATCTAAAATGACACATTTTAATCAATGCCGTGGAATCTCACTACCTTCTTACCACTCGAAAATTCAGATATGTCCTTTCACTACATCACAACCTCCCAAAGGTAACAACCTAACTCATACAGTTACTACCTCCCATACAAAGTTGGAGCGCTTGGAGTTGCGCTAAAACTTCTTGCCTTCAGTTTGTGACTAACATAGGTGGAGCCGTGGAGCAGTATTCAATTGCGCATCCTAGCCTTTTAGATGTTGTTGGACTAAAGAATGTATGTGTGTTGCCATAATCAAACGATATTGTGAATGTTTGTTTATCTATTTTCCCTACCACATTTAATGTTTCAAGAGTCCTCTGTCCACCCAATGCACTGATGGAAAGTTTCAATTCTTTCATTCAACTAGGGGTGAGCAAAAAAACCGAAAAACCGAATCGAAAAACCAAAAAACGAGCCGTTTCTAACCGTATCGAATAGCAAACCGTGTGTACGGTTTTTTTTATTTTGGAAATACCGAATTATTCGGTTCGGTATGGTGGAAAGGGTAAATAACCGAACTGAAAAACTGAACCGAACCGAAACTGTAAAATGACTTCATTTTATGTAATATAAAATGTATTATTTAACCCTAATTTTTACTTTTTACCTTTCAATTACATGTCTCATTCTAAGCATTTGTCCATAAATTGAGACATTGTATTTTATTTATTTAGTAATTTAAATTTTACTTGAGTTTATGGTTTTAATAATGTGGTTGATGAAAGTAGGGAAAAAAAAAACGAAGCATAATATACATCATCTAAATTACATTAAATGGAATTAAAGATTTTATATTTTCATTGCGTTAATTTGTTGTGAAAGTAATTGTAATTGGATTCTTTTGTTTGTACAATTTGAATATATAGTTACTATTGATCCGAAAAATAACCGTAACCGAACCGAAAAAATTGAAACCGAAAGAAACAGACCCGATGAAAAACCGACATATATAGTTTTTAATTTTACAAAAACCGATATATTCGGTTCATGTTCGGTTTTAGCCAAAAATTGAACCGAACCAAGCCGTGCATACACATCAACTCCGAGATCCAACACTTTTTATGATTTCATCTTCTTCTACCACCACGAGAAAAAATAACCTCTTGAACCTTTGTCCTGTGGTAAGTCTCATCACAATTCTGAAAAAGGTTCTTCTTCCATATAGATATCATTTCCTCATTGCTCAAGTTCTTAATGCAGGAATTTTTATCTGCAAAGAGGGATTTTCCTTCAGGCCGTGGGGGTTATCTGCAGTAATATTATTCTAGGGGTAATGGTATATGCAGGCCAAATTAAATATTCAGGCACTTTTTTATCATGATTTTTTACCTTTTTACCATAACTATTTACCTTTTGTACTATTCCTACCCAATAAAAAAAAATTAAAAAATAAAAAATAAAAAATTTAAATTGTTTTGCTCGTGCAAAAATATGCGAGCATTTCAACAGTGCTCATCTGATTTCACACGAGCACTGTTGAAATGCTCGCATGTTTTTGCACGAGCATCTTATAATTCAAAAAAAAAAAATTATAAAAAAAATAAAAATAAAAAATGCTCGTGTAAAAACACGCGAGCGGTTGAAAAGCGTTCGTGTGAAATCACACGA